AAAAATAAATTTTATTAATAGTTCTTTAAAATGAGCTATCGTTTATTGAAATCGATTAAGGCATTTAGAAGTTATGACAATTTAAAAATTTCAAGATAGCGTCCTTCATACTGACGTCGCTATGGTAATAACAAAAAAAAAAGTTCAAACAAAATTTGTGAAAGGTTTAACCATAAAAGTAACTAAATAAGAGGGTTTTATTGGATAGGGCGGACCGAACATGCATTCACTGAGGCCATCTCACGTTGTTTCAGCAAAACATTGTCCTTTACGAAAATTGTTAAATAAAAATCTGCAACTACAAATCGAATCTGTATTTCCAAGCTTTCAATCAACAGAAATAGAATGCGTCGACTGAAATATTTCAATTAACGTAGAATGTTGGAGGTAGGAGGTTTGAGGTTATAATTTATCTTCAGTTCAGGTAGGTTGCTGCGTTTTGTGCATTAATAAATTTGTTTTGTTTTTAGATTAATGTAATAAGGGATTTATTGAATAAGTCATCTGAACTGCCTTACTGTATTTTTATTCTTTTTTTTATGTAAAATTAGTTTACCTGGTAGAACTACACGTAAATGTTGTGCTCCAAATTGCAAAAGCACTTACTATATGAATGTCTATAATGCGTCCTATAAAAATAAGTTTTTTCAAAATTACAAAAGACAGACAATTACTGTGGATAGAATCAGTTCGAAAATTATGTAAATCAGACTTTGCTCCGACAAACACAGTCATTATTTTTGTGAAGACCATTTTGAGTTAAAATGTTTTAGAAGCAGTGATAGGAATAGTCTCAACAGAAATACTGTGCCAACGTTATTTTTAAGATCAACTACAAGTTCACATATTAATTGTAATAATATCACCTTGGAATACTCGGATAGTATCCAATATTCAACAAAACAATTTGTTACCTAACGTAACATTACAGAATTTTCATAGTACGAGTTGCCAAACTTCAATTTCGGATGATTTTTCACCCCACCTTTTAAAAAACTGAAATACATGTATTAAAAATTGTTATTTCCTACAAGCGCTACTGCGAGCACCAAGATCATTCCTGAGATTACTGATAGCAAGTTGAATGAAGCGGAATCAAATACAAGTCATGCAAGTACCTCACTTGATACCTCATTTTGTCAAAGCCGCACATCTTTTCAGCCAAATAATAAACAAAGAACATTTTTAAAAACTTTGAATGTTAAGAGAATATCTCAACTTTCAGATAAACATTAAAACATTTTTTATCTAGATCGTCAACAGAAAATTCAGATTTTGAAATTAAAAAAGAAACTATTAAAATGTAAAAGTATCACCTATTATAATTTATTTGCAAAATTAAGTCGTCACCTTGATTCAGTAGGTGTAAAATTTATTGAGTCACAAATTAAAAATTGCGAAAAAACGACCTATCTATAATTCAGAAAATAAAGCACTTGCTTTAGCAATTTACAAACTTGGGCCTAATACCTTTAAATGTTGGGAGAAATGAAAAGTTGTTAGGTGAATTATCAGAACGTGTTAGTAAAATTACTTATTACAAGAGATAAAGTTTGTTGTTTAGTATTTGATGAAATAGCTCTGTCTGTTGGTCTAAATTATGACACTTGTAACGATCAAGTAACGGGATATGTTGATCTTGGGTCCCTGGGTAGACAAAATGAGGTAGCAAATCATGCTGTAGTGTTTTTGGTCGTAGTAGTAGTATTATTTCACAAAAGACGTTATAAAAACAAAGGACCAAAAAATTTTGTTAATTGAAGTAATTTCAGCATTGCAGTCTTGTGGATTAAAAATAATTTGTACAGATTGTGATGAAGGTTCCACTAACAGATCAGCTATCAGATAGTTAGTTTCTGAGTAATCAAATAAATCCACTTTTAATGTTAATGGCGAGGAAATTATTCCCATTTTTGACGTTCCTCATTTGCTTAAATACCAGAAATGCTTCATATAACAA